TGTGTGTGTGTGTGTGTGTGTGTGTGTGTGTGTGTGTGTGTGTGTGTGTGTGTATTATCTTTTCTCTTATTTCATCTTCCTGATATAATATTGATTTAAACAAATCTATGCCTGGAGGAGGAGACAAATCCTTTACCATATGAAGTACAGGTTTGAGAACAACAACATTAAGAGCTGTATTAACAAACTGATGCTTCTAGAGGAACTGAGAAAGGTGATGTTTGTCATAAAGAACTATTGATGGAATCAGTGCGTTTTTGACTTTGCAAGATGATGAAGATTGGAGAACCGGTGAACACAGAAAATGGATATTCATGTTTCTGGTATCAGCAAAGTCAGCTGTTGAATATCAAAGACAGCATCACTCTGAATGATATAATGCAATTCATTCTCATTGGATCAGTATTACAAGACAGTCAAAAATCTTATGATTAAACAAATAAAAACTGTCTTTTCTAGCACCCCGACAAAGCTACTACAAGTTTCAATGAAGAAAACCTCATCTGCAGCACTCTAGACCTCTTCTTTGCTGGAACAGAGACAACATCCACGACCCTGCGCTGGGCTCTGCTTTACATGGCTCTCTACCCAGAAATCCAAGGTGAGATGTGGTGACAGCATCTAACCAAGGCAGAACAGGTTCGGAAGACAGGATAGGGGAACGGGAAGAGGAGGAGCATATGTGAGGTGATGTGCACTCGGGAAACAGCACATCCTTCACATGTTCTGTGAGGACTATGATTGTTTCAAGAGTGCAGATATTAGAATCTGTACCTTCAACAAGCTTGGAGTTCAGGAGAAAAGAGAGATGTCAGTTTACATTGTGGAATGTTTCTGCAAAGAGTGGATTTACCATACAACTTTGATTCACGCCCTCCTTCCTTTTTTTCTTGATTTTTATTTAACTCTACATTTTCTTCTGCTCCACTCTCTACTTTTCCCCTTCCCCTTCAACCCGTCCCCAAGTTCCTCATGCTCCCAATGTACTCAGGAGAACTTGTCTTTTTCTACTTCCCATGTAGATTAGAACTATGTAAGTCTCTTTTAGTGTCCTCATGGTTGTCTAAGTTCTCTGGAATTGAGGTTATAGGCTGGTTTTTATTGCTTTATGCCCCTTGACCAAATAGATAAGGAAATTGTGGTACATTTATGCAATAGAGTACTAGACAGCAGAAAAATCATGATGTCTTGAATTTTACAGGAAAATGGATGGAGCTAGAAAACATTATTTTGAGTGAGGTAACCCATACACAGAGAGACAATTGTCACATTTACTCACTCATAGGCAGATTTTAAACATAGAGCAAAGAAAACCACCCTCCTTTTTATATTATCTAAAATGTCTTTCTGAATGAAAGTTGCATTTTTAAGAAATGTTAGAGCCTACTGAGTCACTGTTCAGATTTGTCTCTAAAACCAATATTCCAGAATACCAGTATATTTCTAAAAGCTTTTTGAATTATATTTTTTATTTGTTCTGTGTATTGCACTCTTGCATGCTCTCTTCTCCTGTGTACATGGTGAGCTCAAAAGCAATTTATTGAAGTTCGTCTTTCTCACAATGTGGGCTCCTAAGGTCAATCACACACCATCAGATTTGGCCATAAGTGCTAAATCATCTCATCATCAAATATATTAATTAATAAAAGTTTAATTCATGTTCATTTTGTAGTATTAACTGTACTCAACAGTTGGAAGCATCCAGGATACCAATAGGCCATGCGTAAAGTTCAGTACAGAAGTTCAGCCCTCAAGGAAAACGTCTTGATGCATAAATATGGAAGCCAAATGTTCTACAGACTTAACGATACAAATTCTCTTAAGTAGTTAAATTTGTAGACATGGAAGGCAGAATACAAGAGAAATAAACAGAGAATTATGAAGATGTAACATTTTTTGCAAAATCCACTGTTCCTACCATTACTTATACGACAATGCAGATAAATGTGTTGTTTCAACCTCGGTACAGTAGCTGCCCCTAAATCTACTGCCTTTCTGGTCAGCAGCTCAATTCAGTTACCTTCCTGCTTCTGTGTCATTAGCCCAGGCACTCAAGGCTCAGCCTGCAGGAATTCTGTTCCCACAGGCACTGGCTCTGCCACTGCTGCTAAATGTAGCTTTAACTACATCTCTATCATTCTATTTAGAAATAAAACTCGAGCATATTGATATGCATAATACAGATACAGATAATTAATATATATGTAATATATATTAACATAATTGTGTATGAGGTGATATCATGCTAGCTCAGAGAGGTTGAGTATCAGGTAGCTAACCATCCCTCATAGCTGGTATTGCCGAAAAGCACATCCTTTTACTTCACCAAAATAAAAAAGTCAAGCCACACAAACTTCTCCCAAATACTTCTGGTGTATCTCTCTATCTCTTTAATATGCCTGCTGTCAGCTATTTGTTAACTCAGCCTCCTGACCTCAGGTTGATTTTATCTAAGTAACACTAATGCAATCTTATGATTCCTCAACATATGTTTAGAATTATATCAATGCACAATTAAAAATTTAAATAAGAGCTATGATTATGAGTTCACATCATTAATCAAACTTCTTAAGAGCCTGAGGCAAGGCTGTTGAGAATTCAAGATGATCATGGACTCAAATTTGCCCTAACTCAAAATCTTCATAGTTTTTGAGATCTGATTTCTGTTATATGAAATTTATTTCCATTTAATTCTTTTATATATACAGCAGTGTCAATGTTAGACATTTATATCTCTCTCTCTCTCTCCGGAGAAAGAACCACGCTGTGTAGAAGGAGTGGCAGACCGTGTTCCCCCTGCCCGGCTCCCTGGCTAGTTTACACCCGAAATAATTACACGGAAGCTGTATTCTTTTAAACACTGCCTGGCCCATTATCTGTAACCTCTTATTGGCTAGCTCTTACATAATAACTCAACCCATTTCTAATAATATGTATGCCACCACAAGTTCGTGGTTTACCAGAAAGATTCAGCATGTCTGACCTGGCAGCTTCATGGCAACAGCTCTCTGCCTCTGCCTGACTCTGCTTTCTTTCTCCCACAATTCTGTTCTGTCTTCCCCACCTACCTATCTTCTGACCTATCAGGCCACGCAGTTTCTTTATCAATTAACCAATGAAAGCAACAGAAATACAGATGACCCACCTACATCAATGCTGGACCTAGTAAAGGATCTAGAGTTCCAAATTCATTACACCTTGTGGCAGTGGTGAGCTCAGATGAGGTTCGCAGACTCTGCAGTGGCTGCTGTGAGAACAGCCTTTGCACCCCAGGGAGAGAACTGGAGAAGGAAGGGGGCATTGTCTCTACAAGCTTTGTCACGAAGATGAAACACCATGTCTGCTTATGTTTTAGTCATGTCACATTTCCTCTGTAAGGAATCTGGGAAATGATTTCTTTAGCTAGAGAAGCAGGTAAACAGCTGAGTCTCTACTGCTCTAAGATAGTGAAGATATTGAAAGGAAGCATCTATCAATTGTTTAAATTATTATACCAATGTAAACCTCAAAATACACTTTGGATAAGGTTTATTTACTCTCAATTATTAGATGAAGAAACCAACGTTCATAAAATATTCCTAGTTTGACAATTAGAGCTGCCCAGAAACACATTGCAATTCACTGCCCATGATAGGAAATGTCCTTGAGAAATTAGTCTGCAGATACGCAGTGGTCTCAGTGTTTTGTGTCCTCCCTATGAACTCATTGAAACTTAATTACCAATGTGATGGTGTGAAGAGGTGATTACTTGTTATGAAGGGAATCTGTGCTTAAGAAAGAACAGCAAGATGGCTTCTTTTCACATTATGACAGGATGATACAACAAAGATTTCACAACTATGACAAAGGAAATTGATTCTTCTAAGACAAGAAATCTGTTGATGATCTGATCTTAGAATTTCTAGACTCTTCATGTAGATAAATCCAAAGTGTACTGGTGACAATATATTCAGGAAAATTATTTATTTATAGAAGTCTGAGTAGACACTGATATGAGCTTAGCCTTAGCCATCCTGATTAGTCAGTTCAGGATATATAGAAATTCATACCAATGCTGTAGGTTTGAAGAAAGATATAGAGTTTACACTTTTCTTTTTTTTTCAAAGTTTATTAATTTATAAAAGTTTCCATTTCTGCCCCTCCTCCCAACACCCTCCCACTCCCCCCACTCCCTCTCCTCCTCCCTCCCCATTCCCAAGAGCAGTCAGGGTTTCCTGCCCCGTGGGAAATCCAAGTTCCTCCCTGCTCCCTCCAGGTCCGGGATGGTGAGCATCCAAACAGACTGGATCCCAAAAATCCAGTATATGCAGAGGAAACAAGTCCCAGTGTCATTGTCATTGGCTTTTAGAAAGCCCCTCATCAGACAAAGGCCTGATCTCCAAAATATACAAAGAACTCAAGAAACTAGACACTAAAACTCTAATTAACCCAATTAAAAAATGGGGTGCTGATCTGAACATAGAATTCTCAACAGAAGAACTTCGAGTGGCCAAAAGATACTTAAGGTCATGCTCAACCTCCTTAGCGATCAGGGAAATGCAAATCAAAACAACTATGAGATACCATTTTACACCGGTCAGATTAGCTAAAGTCAAAAACACCAATGATAGCCTATGCTGGAGAGGATGTGGAGAGAGGGGAACACTCATCCATTGTTGGTGGGAATGCAAACTTGTGCAGCCACTGTGGAAATCAGTGTGGCGGTTTCTCAGGAAACTGGGAGTCAACCTACCTCAGGACCCAGCAATTCCACTCTTGGGAATATACCCAAGAGATGCCCTATCATACCACAAAAGCATTTGTTCAACTATGCTCATAACAACACTATTTATAATAGCCAGAACCTGGAAACAACCTAGGTGCCCCTCAATAGAAGAATGGTTATAAAAGGTGTGGAACATATATACATTAGAGTTTTACTCAGCGGTAAAGAACAATGGCATCTTGAATTTTGCATGCAAATGGATGGACATAGAAAACGCTTTACTGAGTGAGGTAAGCCAGATCCAAAAAGAGTTTACACATTTCTAAATCAGGATTTCTAAGGGGTAGAGAACTTTTATTTCCTCACAATCAGGACACTAGATGAAATAAAAGCATATTTGTTTTGAAAGACAGCTTTCTCAGTCTTTAGAAGATAACATGAAACTTTAAAACTTAATGGAGCGTCCCGTTTCCTTGAAGCAAAAGTTCAGGCTGAAATTGACAGAGTGATTGGCCAGGAGAAGCAGCCCAGCCTGTCTGACAGAGACTCCATGCCCTACACCAATGCCGTTGTCCATGAGGTGCAGAGGATGGCAAATATCGTCCCTCTAAATGTTCCCAGGAAAGTGACAGCTGACACTACTCTGGCTGGATTCCACCTGCCCAAGGTAAGTAGGCTAAGAAATGGAAGTCTGTTAACCACTAACCCTCTGTGTGTCTAGTCCACACATTATTTGTGTCTTTGCTGCCTTCCCTAGGGCTCCATACTCCAGACCAATTTGACTGCACTGCACATGGACCCCAAAGAATGGGCCACCCCAGATATCTTCAATCCGGAGCACTTTTTGGAGAATGGAGAGTTTAAGAAGAGAGAATCTTTTCTGCCTTTCTCAATGGGTGAGTTGTGATGAGCGGGAGGGGTTCAGAGCTCCACCTTATCCCATCTTTTTTTCCTGGAATTTCTTTTCTGGAATCCTTACAGATGAGCCTTTCCATATATCTCCATTTTGCAGCTGGTTTCAGTCACTACACACACACACACACACACACACACACACACACACACACAGGTACGGTGTCAATCCCTCCTTGCTTCTGATGGAGATTTCAACTTCCTTTGTTCTGTGTTCTGCCTCACGGATGACAGAGACCTAAAGCCTGCCTCTTGCTCAGAGCAAACAAGCTGAATTCCTGCCATTGTGTAGACTTTTTGAGTGCCACGCGTTCTTTTTAAGGGATGGCTCCTGACAATGGAAAGAGCTGAGTTTTGGGGTTTTTAGTTGTTAGATAGCTTTAACTGGCATTTGCTTAGGAGAATAGACTTCTGTCCCTTGAACAATCCCTGAATAGGTCTTATCTTTCTAAATTCGAGCCCCTTTGTTAAATGTAGTTAGTACATGCATCTGCTACACCACCTGATACGCAGGAAAGGAAATGCAGTGATGACTCTTTCTCCCTTTTGCTTTCTGCCAGGCAAGTTATTAAAGACTTCAGTGGCAGTGGTGTGGAATTAATAACCAAACGTTCTGGTATATTCTAGATATTGGTTTATATATATTAATTTGGCAATTCTTTAATTTCATAACTGTGTTTTAAGTTTTAACCTAAAAGAGAAAAAAAACAAAAACAATGAACCTGAGAGTAGGAACAGGAGATGAAGCAGAGCTGCTCCTTGGAGCATGCATCCCACTGCAACCTTCCTAGCTGCAGTCAGTGAGCCCTGCAGAGAAATTGCACAGACCTAGGCAAATGTGCTTCTCCTGGAGCTCAGTGCCCATCAGGTTTCCTCACACAGAAGCTGTGTTTCCTAACACTGTCTGCAGAGGGTGACAAATGCTGCACAGAAGGCACTGAAATGCTTGATATGATCATTACGTTTGCCTGATTATCTAAGGCAGTGTCGCCTCTCATGATGCAGAGGCTCCAGGAGGAGACTGCATTTGCCTGCACAGCTTGTGTTGATCCAGAGCCAGTGTTTCTTGGGGCTGGGCTGCCCTGGGTTTGCTCTGACCTCTTTGTCTTTCCATCTGGGACTGTCTGTCCCTTTTTTCCACTGTTCACAACTCACTTTAATAGGAAAGCTGATAAGATACAGAGACTTTTTCCATTCTTCCTGTTTGTAAAATTATAATATAATAAATAATATAAAATTATAAAAACAAAACCTCAGATGCATATTTCACTTATTCGACTTCTCTATGTCAATGAATCAGGTCAATGAAATACTGAAAGGCTAGGAATTTTTTCCTTTTTATATTTCAAATAAATGCCTTGTGTGATAATTCTTAGGACTATGGTGAGAAGAATGAGAATAGATCCCAACATGCCTTCCCCAAGAAGATGTTCCTCCAGGCCCATTGCTGCCCAGGAACATGCCTTCTCCTCCCTATAGTGCAAAATCCTCTTTCTATAGAGGCCTCTTGCCTCACTCAGTTTAATGAATTCTCCATCAATACCAGTTGTAAAATAAAGTAGCAACACAGAGAGACCCACAGGTGCTGTTATTAAGAATGTTATTACTTACTCTAAATTACACACTTCATTTAGCAGGCTAATTGTATCAGATAATCACCACAGCAATACCGTTATTAATACTCAGGAAGAAAAGGAATCAATGTTTCCTTTCACCCCATAAGCAGATTCCATAAAGGAGAAAAAAGAGTTCTTTCTTTTTCAACATCACAGTTTCCAAGAACTGACAGAGCAGGGTCTTATGCTCTTATTTTTAGTTTAGTTCTCTTTATGATACATTCAGACCGTGACTTGTCCCCAAAGTTATAGACTCATCCATTGGAAGATTTCCCACGTTCATGTCCTTTCTATCAGTTAGCATCACAAACTGCATCATTTGGTAAGAACCTGTTACTGCTCACAGATTTCCACATGAGGTCAGTGGCTTAGGTAATCTTTGCTCCCCTGCTTTACATCTCATCCTGTGCTCTGATTGGTGGTGATCAAGATCTCTAGAAACAGAATAGAGGACAGAGCAGCGATTAGTCCAAGCTGGGAACTGTCACTCCATAAATGACACTGTAAGCCTCATGACCAGCTGTTTCATATTGCATTCTACATATTATTGTTTGATAAAAAGAACCAGCATTTATGGAAAATGACAAAATTTAGTCTTGGATAAGGAAAACCTATATGTTTGGAATACACTGGTATTCAAAAATTAGGAAACACCACCTTGGGTGGTCAAGTCTGAAATACCTGGGGTTTTAAAACAAGTATTGGTTAGCAATGGATTGAAACACTTACTGATGAACATGAGTATTTAAATACAGGGGGGCAAGTAGCATTGGAATGTCAACACATGGCCTGGAATAAGAGCACTGGTTGCTCTTCCAGACAAGCCAGGTTTCATTCCCAGTACCCACATGGCAGCTCACAACCTTCTCAGGGATCTGTCCCCTTCTTCTGGGTACAATGGGCACTACACACATGTGTTGCAGAGACATGCATGCAAACAAAACATTCACATACATAAAATGAAAATAAAGTTTAGTTTTTTAAGAACTGAAATATATATACATGAGAGTTGTGATAGATTTTCTAATGTCAAAATTGGGAGCCAGAGACAAAATTTGGAAGAGAAATACCAATAGAAACAAGCAGATGAAGATTAATTTACTAACAGTCTCAAAATAAGTTTACATACAAAAATTAAAGCACTGATTAAGGAAGAATGTGGTAGACTCTACCATTATCAAATGTTCCCCGACAATAAAATCTCAAAATCAATCGCCAGCAGAGGTTAGAAGAAAATCCCATGTAACATAAGTGACATCTGACCAACAGGGCAGATGCTCATGGCCCCAGTCTGCCCATTAGGTAAACAAGGAGATACTTAGAAACCATACTCCATACTCTTTAAAAAAAAATACTTGAAAGGTATAAAAATGTTTGGAAATCAGGCCCGAATGAAGAGGACAAAGAGATGCCACAGCTAGACCTAGCATGTGACATCAATGTTTCCTATGATGATGCAGGGGAGTGGAGGGACAGACAGCTGCCTGACACATCTTCAGGTTTGTGTACATGAGTCCTGAGCTCATGTGAGAAAGGCGCGAAGAAGCATGTGCATTCAGGACACCACCGTCTTTGTCACACTGAATCTTGCTGATCATTATCACAGTTCTAGTCACACAGGACATTACTGTCCAGAAAATGGCCACCTCTAGGGGTGGAGCAATTAGCACTTGGTGTTGAGCAAATATTCACTCCTCCTGGAGACATTTTCTTTGCAGGATGTGGACCTCTCAGAGCAGAGATTCTAGAAAGAAAGCTAAGCTATTGTCCTCCATGAGATCAAAGGTCCTGGACCTGTCATTCAAAGGTGCATGCAGAGTTCTGCTGCTCTTGGATGCTCTAAGAGAATGACTGGAGACTTCTGGGTGCAACTTCAGGGCTTTGCAGGAGAATCACAAGCTGGTCTCAATTTGATAGCTGTACCTTAAATCTTCCTATCTCAGCATCTTCATCCTTGAAATCTGGGATGATGATGGCGAGGGGTAGATGTGTACTTAATAAATAATGGACATACTTGTCTGTAGGGTTCAGCAGGAATCTGATTCAATATTTGAGACAGGAGACAGTTACAAAATGAATGCAGATACGTCTTCTAGTTGTTCATCATTAACAGCTAGAACCTTTGCAAGGGAAAGCCTGTATGTTTTTGACTTTTATGTTAGGGACTCAGCTCTAACACCTTCTTATATTTTGGAATCTTTTTTATTTTCTACATTTTATTTTATTTACATATGTGTAAATGTGTCTCTCTATGTGTACATAACATATAAGTGTGTGATGGAGCCTATGGAGGAGAGAAAGAGGCATTGAATCTTGAATTTCAGGTGTTTATGCTCCTCCTGATATGTATGCTGAGATCTTAATAGAGTTCTCTGATAGAGCAGTGAATAATATTAATCATTAAGCTATCTCTTTCTCAAAAGGGTTATATAGTAGTCTATGATTTGGCTGCTAAGTCATTATGTGGTATATCCAGTTCAGGTGTCTCGTTCACAGTACAGGATGCCAGCTTCCAGAACTGTACTAGGGTTGCAGAAAGAATTCCTTTTACTTTTTTATTACTTTATCAATAATACCAATAAAAATTTCCACTTCCTCCCCTCCTCCCACTTCTCTTCCGACCCCCGCCCCACCCCGCTTTGATCCTGAGTTCCAATTTCAGAGGAACATTCCACATTCAGACACATATGGGACATAAATAAACAGCTGGACACAAAGCCCAGTGACAGTTCAAGATTTATGAAGGAAAATGGAAATGCCAGTCCCTGTAGTCACTAATGCCAACTAAGAAAGTATGTCATCTTCTGTTTCATTTCCTGTAGGAAAGCGAGCTTGCCTTGGGGAACAATTGGCCAGGTCTGAGCTCTTTATTTTCTTCACTGCTCTTGTGCAAAAATTTACTTTCAAGCCGCCAGTCAATGAGAAGCTGAGCCTAAACTCTAGACGTGGCATCCCCGTTTCCCCAGTCAGTCACCGTCTCTGCGCTGTCCGTAGACTGTGAAGTCAGAAGCAGAAAGAGAATAAAGAAGAACAACTGAGCAATCTTCTGAGCCACTGGAGCCACTCGTATGTGAAGGGAGAGAAGGAAGGTGACCAGGGAAAGATGGGAAGACTAGGCTACAGTTATTGGATCCATGTCCTGGACTGCTGTGTCCTCTGAACTGGTCATCACTTATACATCTTTTTATAAATTTATACATCACTTATAGATCTTTTCATCTAAGAGTTACAAAGAGAATGATGGCTCCCCCTGTAAAGAAAGTGCTTGTAAATATGAAAGGTGGGTTAGAAACAGCATGAAAATCATTAAAGTCATATCATAAAATTATACCTTCAGTTCACTTCCTGCCTCCTTTATAAATGTGCACTGGCTTCTAGATGTTACATTGTTCCCTGGGAAAGTGGTACAAATGTCTTTTCTCCATCTCCTAGCCTGTGGAGGCTTGCTGAGAACAGATCTATAGACACTAGTTCTAGAAGGGTGTGGTTTGAGGTCAGTTTCTTAGCTGTCAATGGACTCTCCAAAACTAAAGAGAGCACAGGGCTGTCCTAAAAATTTAAGATTTTCATGCCCAAGATGAGACCAAATTTTACTTGGGCAAAAGACCTGCTTCTGTGCACAAAGTAAAAACATTTCCCAGAAATGATTCTTATATACTAAAGTGCCCCACATTACCAGTTTATGCCAATGAACTTATAGGATGGCTTTGGTCTACAATCTGGAATAAGTAACTTATCAGATATTTCTCCGTGGAGTGGTGAGAGACATATGGTCTTGTTCATGTGTTCACCCAGGTACACAGTTAATTTTTTTAATTCAAATTAGCACTGAAATGTACATGTAAAATGGATGGTATCAGGGAAAGGCACACATTGAAAAACCTCTGTTCTGCTCTCAATGGAGAAACATAGAGCAGGGTACAGCACAGGATGGTCTCAATGCAGAAGGTATTTTATTGACAATACCAATTACCATGTTACCACAGGAGCCACAAATGTCAGAAGCAGTTCACCATGACACCTCATGGAAATGTCTACCCATGCATCAGTACCTTTTTAACTGTTCATAAAAATTATATAAACTTAGTTTCCCTCCCATTCAAGAATTATACAAAGAGCTTGTGGTTTTCCCTTACAACCGTCATTCCTCTCTGATTCCGGATGCCCCAGTGCTCCTTCCCTTTTCATGAGGCTCTAACATTCCCTTCCATCTTTATTTCTACCTGACACGTTGGGTACAAGCCATTTGGCAGGAAAGTAAGTCATTTTATCAAACGCATCTCAGAAAGTAGATCTTCTCTTAATATGTCCCACAAAGATACATAGAATTAGATCACTACAATGAACAGCTAAAATAAGCAGAACTTTGTGGGAAAGGAAGCAACTTATCAGGGCAGAAATGACCAGAGTATCCAGTCTTTACCGTCTTGTCCAATTCCAAGCCTCCTGATCCCATTATTGGGATAAGTAACAAAGAAGAAAGTTAAAAAAAAAAAAAAAAAAAAAAACACTAGTATACCAGGCTTGAGGACAGGAACTTCGGCCTCGTGACTTAATGTAGCCTTTTAAACCAGTAATCTTGGCTTTCCTTCCTTTAAATGGGGTTCAAGGGGATTGAAAGATGGTTCACAGGTCAAGGACACTTGCTGCTCTTCCAGGGAACCCGGTTCTGATACCTAGCACTCAGTTGCCACCATTTGTCAATACTGCTTCCAGGGAATCTGATTCCTTCTTCTGGTCTCCACATTCACATACATGGTACACAGATGTTCATGCAAAGCATCAATACATATTTTTTTAAATAAAAAAATGGGGTATAGGAGAAGAAATCTTGCCATCTGGTGGAAATGGTAAAATGCAGAACTGAAAAATCTTACAGAGTAAAGCACTTTCTGCTTTAGGACTCCATAAGGAAACAAGACAAGGATGCTCTCTCCTCAATCTACCTGTCACATGGCGTTCATTGAAACATCTATGTCTATTCATCCCAGTTAGGCAGAGCACCAATCGACCACAGAATGTCAAACATTGTGAGTCATTAATTGGGGGTGGGGTGTGAAAGGAGCATGGATGGTTCAAAGGCATCTGAACCAAAGACTGCCCTGCTTAACTGGCAGGCAGCTTTGCAGCTGAGAGTCCCTTCCCCATCCCCTAACCCAGCAACAGCTTCCTGTTTGTATAGCCTGGGGAATGTAGATGGTGAGCCTTCCCACTATCCTGAAGTGATCTTAGCAGCCCCCCAAGGGTTATCTTAGCTGTGGTGAAACACCATGACCCTTGGGAGTGGGGTGATTTCAATGCTGGTCTCCAAGAAGTGAAACTGTTGGGAAAGTTTAGGAAGTATGGCTTTGTGGCCTTATTTGGGGGAAATGTGTCACTAGGGGGGAACGTTGGGGTTTCAAAAAGAATCTTTATTAATTTTGATTGTATCCATAGTTTTTCTATTCCTGCAAAAACAAGAGCTAAACCCCACCCCTTCACCAACATAGCACATCTTCTGGTTTCCATTGTGAGGTTCTTTCACACGAGGACAACACATCCTTGAAATAAACCCACAGACTTAATTCAGAAGACTTTTTTATTATGCAATGTCTCTCTGCTGCTATTGCCCCTTTCTCATTAGCATTAAGAAAATTCAAGGTTAATAAAGCACTATGTAATCTATTTCTGGGCGAATTTTCCATCCATTTCTGTTTGTTTAATATATCCTTTATAGTTTGATTTGAGCTTTCTATGACTGCCTGACTTCTAGGATTGTGTGGTATACCTGTAATATATGTTTAACATTATAATAAGCAAAAACTGTTTCATTTTCCTAGAGACATATGCTGGACCATTATCTGTCTTTATCTGTGAAGGCATACCCTGAAGGCCATAACTTCTAACAAATGTGTGATTACTGAATCAGCTTTTTCTGAGCTTAAAGTAGTTGCCCACTGAAAACCTGAATAAGTGTCAATAGTGTGCTGTAGATATTTTAATTTTCCAAATTCTGACAAGTGGAACACATCCATCTGTCAGATTTCTTTACTTTGAGTACCCTTTGGGCAAGTCCCTACAGGTAGCGGTGTTTGATTATAGAAAGAACAAGTAGGACATCTCTTTATAATTTCCTTAGCTTGTTGCCATGTAAGAGAAAATATTTCTCTAAACCTTTGCTATTGAAATGATGTTTTTTTAATGAAATTCTGAGGCCTGCAACATTCCAATCAATAATTGATCAATTTCTGCCTTACCTCGTGCTAGAGAACCTGGCAGATCCATATGGGGTCAGATGTGTGTTATGTATATAGGACACAGCCTATCCCCGATTATGTCTTGCACCTGGATAAATAATGAAGTCAATTCTCTATCATCTGGTATAAATTCAGTGGTTTCAATATACCAGACAATTCTTTATGCATTTTGCGAATCAGTAAGTATATTAAAAGGTTTTATAAAACTCTTAGGATCATGAGAACAGCATAAAATTCTGCCTTTTAGACAAAATTATAAGGGCTTTGTTCCACCTTACTTAATTCTTCTGATTTGTAACCTGCCTTCCCTAATTTATTTGCATCATTATAAAATGTATGAGCTTCAGTTATTGGAGCATCATGTACAATTAGTGGAAGAATCCAAAAATATTCTCTTTATAAAGTTAGGTTGACCACTTTTGGGATAATTGCTATTAATTTCTTTTAAAAAATTAGCACAAACTCTTTGCCATGGTGGATTGTCTTCCCATAACTTTTTAATTTCATCAGTAGTGAGAGGCACTATAATCTCTGCTGAGTCTATACCTGCTAGTTGACAAAGTCTCAATTTACCTTTTATAATTAATTTAGAGACTTTTTCCACATAAGCTTTTATTCTTTTACTTGGTTTATGTGGTAGAAAGATCCATTCTAAGATAATATTGTCCCTCTGCATTAAAATTCTTGTAGGAGAAATTCTATAAGGCAATATGATTAGAATACAATTAAGATTTGGATTCACCCTATCCACATGTGCCTCCTGTAATTTCTCCTCAACAATCGTCAATTCCTTTTCTGCTTCAGCTGTTAATTCTCTGGGACTATTCAATTCTTTATCATCAACAAAGGTTTCGTTTAAATGAATTATTACATCAGGTGTTATATCAACAGCTAGTCGTAGACTGGAAATGTCTCCTAACAATCTTTGAAAGTCATTAAGAGTCTGCAACTGGTATTTCCTTATTTGTGCCTTTTGTGTTCTAATTTTCTACAAACATATTTTATAACCTAGGTAATTTACAGAATCTCCTCTCTGTATTTTTTCAGGAGTAATTTTCAATCCCCATTTTGGAAAAACTTTCTTTACTTCTTCAAAATTTTTTTCTATGTTTGAATAGGATCGCAAAATGTCATCCATGTAATGGTAAATTATAGACTTTGGAAATTACTTACATATTATTTTCAATGGCTGACTTACAAAGTATTGGCACAGAGTGGGGCAATTGAGCATTCCTTGTTGGAGGACAGTCCATTGATATTGCCTAGCAGGCTGAGAATTATTATAAATAGGCACTGTGATGGCAAATTTTTCTCTATCCGTTTCTTGTAAAGGTATAGCGAAGGAACAATCTTTCAAATCAATAACTATAAGAGGCTATCCTTTTAGTAATAGAGAAGGCAGAGAAATTCCAGATTGTAGAGTGCCCATAGACTGAATTACCTTATTGACAGCTCTTAGATAAAATGGAGACCATTCTCCATTTACCAGATTTCTTTTTAACAATTACAGGGGAATTCCAAGAACTGGTTGATTCTTCAATATGGTGAGCATTTAGTTGCTCTTATACCAGCTGTTCTAAAACCTGCAGCTTTTTTTTCTGTTAGTGGCCATTGCTTAACCCATATTGGTTTTTCAGTTAACTATTTTAAATGTAGGGCTGTTGGTACCTCTAAAGGTTTGCTAATTGCTTTATGTTCTTTTACGCCAGAATGGCTGGTGATCTTTGTGTATAGTAATATAGTGTCCTTTCCATAATTATGAGTTCCTGGGACAGCAGGAATGTTAATCTGGTTATTCCAATGCTGTGTCAGGTCACAACTTCATAAATGTACTGCAATATTAGCCACATATGGCCTCAGTTTCCCTCTATGACCTTCTGGCCCAAAGTAGTCAACCCATCTCATGCTTTGCTTAACTTGAGAAGGTTCCAATTGCTAGTAATTGAGCATCTGCCTCTTGAAGAAGCCAATTTGAATGCCAAGATTCTGGAATAATGAAATTCACATTGACCCCTGTGTCTATCAAACCAAAAATTACAATGCTATGTATACACACTCTTAGCTTTGGTCTTTGATCATTTATAGAAGTCTG